ATTTTTTCAAAATATCAACTTTTGTCAAAAGATTGACCAGGTAGAAGATGTAACATTTTTAAAGGTATACTGCTATTTGAAATGTGTCGTTTCCCTTTTTATTTAATACACAACTGAATGCTTATTTGCTTTGAGGACAGTTTAACCACAATATAGAATTCTGGAATTGGGAATCTTAGTACAGTATTTGGAGGGGCTTGTATAAGTATAACATCCTGATCATGTGAGCTATTAACCAGACTGACTCCAAGAAACCAAATTAAGGTTAAGGAGCTTGCTTCAGGAAATTTCCAAATGACATTTAGTTGAGAGATTATTGAAGCCTCCAAGGAATTTTGTAATCCAAGCCAAACTTGGCCTTGTCTCCAACCTGCCATTTGAAGTTTGAGCTGTTAACACTTGCAATATACAGTATGGGAATAATAGTATGGCTTTGGCAACAGGGCAATTTATAGAAGCTGAACAACCTCAAAAAGCAAAGAACCAACCATCCTCAAACCTTTCTTCCAATGAAGTAAGATGTAAATTAGGAAGAGCTTAGGTTCCCTTTTTTGCTGCTATCTTTTATTTCTGGATGGACACCCCACTGGTCAATGTCAGGCAGCCTAAAGCCAAGAACTGCGACATTGTTTTCCATTGTTCTCACTTCTGCCCCACCAAGGTAGATGGTGAGGAAGAAACAGCAGAAAAAAGAACCAGGAAATTCCATCCCAGACAATTGAATCTTATATCTTTTCCTGTCTCTATGCATAAGAGGCCTAAGGATTTAAGTGCAGAAATCCAGTGAATTTAGTGGGACGTAAGGGACGCGGGTGGCGCTGTGGGTAAAAGCCTCAGCGCCTAGGGCAGGGGTCAGCAACCCGCGGCTCTGGAGCCGCATGTGGCTCTTTTACACCTTTGCCGCGGCTCCGGGGCTGATACTAGCGAGGGGAGGAGGCGCATTGTGTGCCCCGACACTCCCCACTGTTTTAAATGTCACAATGGTTTTGCGGCTCCCAGTTTTTTTTCCTTCGGTCCAAGTGGCTCTTTTTGTCTTAAAGGTTGCAGACCCCTGCATTAGGAAGAAAAGGGGAAAGAGGTGTGGGGGGGAGATGGGTGGGGGTGGGGTCGGGTGGCGATTTTTCTATTTTACTTCCTATACGTAGGGTTTGGTGTCAGCGTTGTTTGTGCAGGTTCTTTGCTGTTCGCTTGTGTTCCTTTGGTGGTAAGAGAGGTTGGGGTTGGCCTAGGGCAGGGATCTGCAACCTTTAAGACAAAAAGAGCCACTTAGACCCGTTTCCGAAGGAAAAAAAACTGGGAGCCGCAAAACCATTACGACATTTAAAACAAATATATCTCCGGAGCCGCGATCTGACAGGGTGCGGGAAGGTGACGTCGGGACGGTGCGTGACTAACGCACACACCGCCCCCATGCGACGTCACAGCCAGTACAGCACCCATCACAGTGGGGTGTGTCGGGGTGCACAATGCGCCTCCTCCCCTCGCTAGTATCCGCCCCGGAGTCGCGGCAAAGGTGTAAAAGAGCCACATGTGGCTCCGGAGCCGCGGGTTGCTGACCCCTGGCCTAGGGTGTGGTTATTCGTTTGTAGCTGGCTGTGGTGGTCTTTGTTTTCATGTGTGAGTGGGTGTTTTGGATCAGCAACAAATCTACTATTAATAGGAGCACAGGATGTTCTGCATTTATATCCAGGGGGGGGGATCTCATGAGCAATATGTCCAAATGTGTTTCTACACTTGGGGGGCTGCTGCGTCGCTTGTTCCTGAACCTTTTCTTCCTCCCAAATGCCCTGAAGATCCATTGCACACCTTGACTTGCATGAAACCTCCTCTCTCTTATTTGCTCAGTGAACCAGACCGGGAGAAGGAGGAATGAAGGAAAACAGAAATCCAGCCTGAGAACGGAGGTCCCTGTCAAGAGAATGGCCAAGATCTCCTCAGGTGAGGATGAAAGGGGAGGCAGGGAAAAGCAAAGAGCCCCTGAAAACATCCCCACACTCGGAAAGAACTTGTCGGCCAAACCCCTGCACGGAAGTGTATCTGCATGAAGACAGTCAGCACTTTTCTATTGGATGGGTGTCACTGAGCAGAGTTTTCAATGGAGATGGTGTATCCGGATTAAGTGGGGGAAACAGAACGGGAGAGCATTTGGGCGTGGAGGATGTCATGCAGATACAGAACTGGACTTGCGTCTTTGAGGGGGTGAGCTCCTGTTGCTCAGTCCCAGCTCCTGCCAACCTAGCAGTTCCAAACCACTACAAAGTGCAAGTAGATAAATAGGTACCGCTCTGGAGGGACGGTAAACGGCGTTCCTGTGCGCTGCTCTGGTTTTGCCAGAAGCGGCTTAGTCATGCTCGCCACATGACCCGGAAAAACTCTGTGGTTCAACGTCGGCTCCCTCAGCCAGTAAAGCCAGATGAGTGGCGCATGTGCAGTTTATTGATTAGGGCGTGACCCGCTAATTGGTTTACGATCCAACTTAGCTCTTTATGGCCGTCCGGCACGCTTCCTCTCAGCTGCGCATTCTGCTCCTTCCAGTCACGCCTCGCAGAGTGAACACAGCGGCAAAACTGTCACTTAGCTTCAGACAAACACACAGAGTACCGGTTTGTCTATAAACAGTTCTTTATTCCGACATTTCCCAGAAAACTCCTGGACTCACCGCAGCCATGACAAACTGCGACCTCTTCCCTCAAAGACAGAGAGGAACAGAGAAACTCCTCCCAGCTTCCAATGCTGACGTCAGAATGTTGAGGCATCATGGGAACAACTTATCCTATTAAGTCCTATTAACACCCAGAGCGCAACCCCAGAGTCGTTCGCGACTGTATGTTCTAAGATGTTTAAAATAGTCAAAAAGATGACAGCTTTTAATTCCTCTGAATTTAATAGCTACTTTAGATTTTTAAAGGCTGGCTCCCAAAATTATTTCAGGTGAAATAGGTGGATTTAGGCCCCTTGCTTGTGAATGGGCATATTACAATATTGTTCTATATTATCCCAAAGGGGGGAGGTTTCTACACCAGCCAGCGGGACAGGATTTTTTCTGTTGCTTAAATGTTACAGTAAAATGGGCCTCTCTTTGGAATGTCTGCCTTAGACGGGTAAAAGATAAGAGCAAGGTTGAATGGGTGTTATTGTGGCCCCAGACGGGGGGAGACTGAAGACAAGGAGGCAAGTTGAAAGGGAGGAGGGTAACGCAGGAGACAAAGCCCCATCTTAATGCAATTAGTATAAATCACATGTTTTACATTTGAACACGTGTCGAGGTTCATGGCGTGGAGAGGCTGGTGCAGGAAGGAAAGGGGGGGCAAGCCCATGTAAGGACATAGGAAGTTGCCATAACTTTCGGTTTGCAAGAAAACAGGTGGCTTACAAGAGATCAGGTGGTATTCTATTCTGCAAATCTATATCAAGGGGGCGCACCCTGACTGGGTGTGCAGGTTGCGTACTTATCGCCCTGTACCTTTGTTCTGCATATGCACTTCAAATAAAATCCTGTTAATAACCTGCAAGGACGTTTGGCCGCTTTGTGTGAATCTGTGCTTCAGGGACCCAAGAGCAGATATGTTTGGTCCTTCAAAAGGAACAGAAAGAAAGCAACACAAATATTTTGACGGAAGTGTCGTAGGAAAGCGATTTTAAATCATGGACACCTAGGTTCTGAAAATGGTATTGCCTGGATTGGTGTGAGGGATGGGGTCCCATGGCACAAATTCCATGTGGTCCCAGTGCAACGGAAAAGAGCTAAGATCTTCTCCCTTACTATAACGTCCAAACAAGATGGGATGGGGAAGAAGAAGGATAGGTTTGTAAGGAGTCTTCAATAATTTTGCCAAGGAAATTCTTATGGTTGGGGGCCTCACTCTATTAGCCTTTCTTGTACATGGAGATCCTTTATGAAATGCATTCAGGCCCATCAAACAAATCTGTACTGAGATACACATACTGTATCACCATTTTTACTGCTGGAACTGCTCTGAATCTGACTTCAGGAAGAACATGTTTTAACTGCACAGTGTCCTGGAAAAGACACTCTGCATTGGGAAAGAAGGGAACTGAGTTCCCTCCCATTTTCCACTTTCCTGATGTTCCAAATGACCAGTACCTTGGAGTTATGATTTGTGGTGTTGTCAGGATTCTAACTGGCCTGTAACTGACCTAAGAATTCTGCAGAGCAATTGCTGCTGTGGCTGGCCGGCTGCTCAGGCAAACGTCAGCTCAGTGGCCGACAGCTCAGTCTTCTTGAGGCTCAGGAGCACCTAGCAAATACCTGCTCTGTTCCTGGCACGCTAGACTCTAGCTGAGGAAGGCATTTCACGTAAGTTTATGGATTAAACATTCCTCACTATGCCATCAGGTGTGTTTATGTTCAGTGGGAAAAGATAGGTGCAGTAAAGGTAAAGGGACCCCGACCATTAGGTCCAGTCGTGACCGACTCTGGGGTTGTGGCGCTCATCTCGCTTTATTGGCCGAGGGAGCCGGCATACAGCTTCTGGGTCATTATTAAGCTGCTTCTGGCAAACCAGAGCAGTGCACAGAAACGCTGCTTACCTTCCCGCTGGAGTGGTACCTATTTATCTACTTGCACTTTGAAGTGCTTTCGAACTGCTAGGTTGGCAGGAGCAGGGACCGAGCAACGGGAGCTCACCCTGTCACGGGGATTCCAACTGCCAACCTTCTGATCGGCAAGTCCTAGGCTCTGTGGTTTAACCCACAAAAGAGCAAAATCATGAGCAGCTGCCCATCCACAACAGCTTGCTGAGGTTCTGGCCATTTTCACAGGAACGATGCAACAGTAGATTAAATCAGTAGCAGTGTGCTGGAAGAAAGTATGAGTGTCGGCTTCTCTGGATCAGATGTCTCTACCTAACCAGGGGGTGGGAGAGAGCAGGAACTCTTTTCTTTTGCTGCTTCTTTCTGTGCATAGAAGGAAGAATGCAGGAGGGAGGATGTCCTTCAATGACTTGACATGCTTGTTATTCCCTCTCTCACTGCATCTTGTCTTCTCTTTTGTTTCCAGGATGTCTGCCAATGTGTCCCCTGGTCCCCTCCTCTCCAAACCCCCCATGTGGGTGAAAGAAGGCTCCCTGGTGGTCCAATGGCTGAGCTTAGTTTCTGGTCTCCAGATATCTGCATTCCTGATGGATATTTTGGCCTTGTCAATGTGCATTTTGTCAACACTCAGTGTCAACTGGCGAGTGTGGAGTGTGGAAAACATCGAGGGAATCGGCTCTGGAAACATCTGGATTGGAATCTGGGATGTCTGCTTTTGGAAAGACCCTTCTAATGACGGAAACTCTTTTTGGCATTGCGAAGACCTCAATGAGCAGCATCCAACCCTCCCGAAGGAAATTTTTATTGCACAGGATTTAATGGCATTAGCTTCCATTATGAATTCAGTGGCCCTGGGGTTGATTTCATTTGCCTTGTACAATGTGTTCAAGCCCAGAAAACATAAGGATTTTCTCTTTCGCTTTTTTAGGCTTGCAGCTTTCCTGAACTTAGTTGCAGGGATACTCGTCCTGATTTCTGTGGTATGGAACACGTCTGCTGTCTTGCAAAATGGGGAAATTGACTTCCCTGAAACTTTTGAATTGCCTCAAATTCCCAGCGAGCAGCATATTGGACCTTCTATTTATCTAGGCTATATCGCTGCAGGTTTCCAGCTGCTGAGTGCAGCATTGGTTGGGATTGAGAGATGTTGCATCAGGACCACCACAACAGATACATCTCTAATAGAAACTGTAGTGGTGATTACCCCAGGGAGCGCGGTGAAAAGCGATAGTCTTACTACTTGTTCGAAGTGTGGTTCTCTGCTGGATCTGGTAATTGTAGAGAAATCCTCCACAGTGGAGATGGAGGAAAGCTGTGCAAAAGATCTTGTAATTCCAGAGGAATCCTGCGCAGTAGAGATGGAGGAAAGCCGTACGCCCCAAAGTTCACCTGAAGGACATCAAAGTCCACCTGAAGTCCCAAAACATACTATTATACATGTTATACCCTACAACAGAGAGTCGTAAACTATCAGATCCAGATCAACGCAGATCGCTCCATACACGCATGGATCTGCGTGGAACATGGTTTTGATAGTTTTGTTTTGGGACTTCAGGTGGGCGTTGATGTCCTTCAGGTGAGGAGGCCCTTTTTTATGACTAGTAGTTATTTATTTATTTATTAAAGATTTTGTTGATTTACAAAAGTGTGCAATGTCTCTCTTTCATGTCCCCCCCCCCCCATGTAACATTTTTATAAATCATTTTCATTTGTTGAGACATCAGGAAGAAAAGGGGAAAGAGGTGGGGGGAACGATGGGGGGGTCGGGTGGCGATTTTTCTATTTTACTTACTATACGTAGGGTTTGGTGTCAGCATTGTTTGTGCAGGTTCTTTGCTGTCTGCTTGTAATTAATAAACCAATTAATAAACCAATATTAATTAAAATATTGACTCTGTTCGCATGATCTTGGCCGGTCTTAATGCACGCTCTCGTCCCGTTTTTCAGAGCCTCCTCCAGAGCAGACCCACTAATGCCTAACCGTTGGGATTCAGTTCTTGATAATTGTGCACTTGGGTCTGGGTTAAAGGCGGATCTACACGGATCCTCATGGATCCTCCACTTTTTAAAAAATAACTCATGCAGTGTCAAATCACACCTGGAAGGCACGCCTACAGACTGGACTGGATGCAGCACCACAAAAACATGGATTCAAGGCATGGATCCTCATGAAGTCATATGATTTTTATAGTGAAACAACATAAAAACACCATGATACTGTAGACCACTTTTTAGTCTGTAAGCAGAACCAAAAAAATCACGCATCCACTGTTTCGTGCTACCGAAATGGAGCAAAAACATGGTTAAAAAACACGGATCCTGATGGATCCTCATGATTTTTGCATTAGATCAGGCCAAAGTCACCATCAGATCAAATATCATGGCCATGGGCACAGTATCCACCACAAAAATCACGAATCCACGGCTTCCTGGCGACACCGGAGCCCAAAAACGTGGTTTTGAAGCATGGATCCTCCTGGATCCTCACGCTTTTTGCTCTGGGCCACCCCTAAATCACCAAATCACACATCCTGCCCAGGGGCATAGCTTGCACCACAAAAAACTCGGATCCACGGCTTCCTGGTCATACCATGGCCCAAAAACGTGGTTTTGAAGCACTGGACCTCCTGCCCCCTTCCTTCCATCCCTCTGGGCATGATCGAGACACAGTAATGTGACTCTCTTTCAAGATTTGCCCCCTATCCTCCTGCCCCCTATCCTTCCATCCCTCTGGGCATGATCGAGACACAGTAATGTGACTCTCTTTCAAGATTTGTCTCTTCTTGGGAGGAACAGCATCGATTTCCACTTGAAAATATTTGTCTTGTCCTTCAAAATAGGTTTTCCCACTGTACTGTTTTATTTCTTTTGCAATCCAGGGTCTAATGGCAGCTTTGGTGGTCTCATCTAGTTGGTTTGATAATTTACATTCACAAGTAAGATCATCACAATCTCTGCCTTGGATATTCTTGAAGTTTAGCAGCGTCAAAAATTTCCAGGTGCAGTTCTTCACAGTGGAAGCTATGAATATGAATGTCATTTCAATACATTAGCAAATGGTTCTTGCTAATGCAGAACCATTTCAATAGTGTTTTTATTTCGGTCATTCTATAGACATTGGTGTGATCTTACAATATAATTTGGTGGAGTCCATTTAACAATCATGACGATCCATGAGGATTAATGTATTCAATATAGTGTTTGTTCCTTGGCTGTGCTCTGTGGGTTTTGTGGTTCATGCTGTGGTCATATTCATCATGTGTGATTTGATAGTGATTTCAGGGTGACCAAACATAAAAAAACAGAAAACTGTGGAGCCGTAACTTTTTATTATATATATATATTCAATTTTATAAGGATAGGGAGGTACAGAAAGGGAAAAGGGGGAGGGGATAGATAGATGATGATAGATAGATAGATAGATAGATAGATAGATAGATACATACATAGATAGATAGATAGATTAGAAAATTAAAAGACCTATAAAGATTATCAAATCCTACAAAGTAATAATAATAATAATAATAATAATAATAATAATAATAATAGTAATATATTTGTACCCTGCCCATATGGCTGGATTTCCCCAGCCACTCTTGACGGCTTCCAAAAAAAAATGAAATAAAAATACATTTAAAAGTCACACATTAAAAATGTCCCTAAACAGGGCTGCCTTCAGGTAGTTCTAAATGTCAGGTAGTTGTTTATCTCTTTGACATCTAATGGGAGGACATTCCACAAGGCGGGTACCACTACTGAGAAGGCCCTCTGCCTGGTTCCTTGTCGCTTTGCTTCTCACAGTGAGGGAACCACCAGAAGGCCCTTGGTGCTGGACATCAGTGTCTGGGCAGAACGATGGGGGTGGAGACGCTCCTTCAGGTCTACTGGGCCGAGGCCGTTTAGGGCTTTAAAGGTCAGGACCAACACTTTGAATTGTGCTTGGAAATGTACTGGGAGCCAATGTATGTCTTTCAGGACATGTGTTATATGGTCCCAGTGGCCACTCCCAGTCAACAGACTAGCTGCCGCATTCTGGATTAGTTGTAGTTTCTGGATCACCTTCAAAGGTAGCCCCACATAGAGCGCATTGCAGTAGTCCAAGCGGGAGATAACTAGAGCATGCACCACTCTGGTGAGACAGTCTCCGGGGAAGGTAGGGTCTCAGCCTGCGTACCAGATGGAGCTGGTAGACAGCTGCCCTGGATACAGAATTGACCTGTGCCTCCATGGACAGCTGTGAGTCCAAAATGACTCCCAGGCTGCGCACCTGGTCCTTCAGGGGCACAGTTACCCCATGCAGGACCAGGGAGTCCTTCACACCAGCCCACCCCCTGTCCCCCAAGAACATTACTTCCATATTGTCAGGATTCAACCTCAATCCATTAGCTGCCATCCATCCTCTAACCGCCTCCAAGCACTCACACAGGACCACATTCTCGGGGCTAACGGATTAAAATTGATTCCATGCAACTTGACCAGTCAGGTCTCTAGCACTCTCTTTTTTTTTAAAAAAAAATTTTTATTAGTTTTCCAAACATATAGTATAAACAAACAACAAAACAAAACAAAACATACACACAAATAAACATGTACAATTTCATAAACTCATTCTCCTTCACCTTGTTTCCCGGACTTCCCCATACCTCCCTTTTTCTGCATCCTTATTTTTTCCCTTTTAACAGCAACCCTTCATTTCATTATTAATTTATCTTCATTATAGCCCCTTTAAATTTATGATATACAGCTGCAATTCTCTATTTCTTAATACCATAACATCTCAGCACTCTTCAATTTTACAACAGTTTTTCAGATATACTTTAAATTTCTTCCAATCTTCTTCCACCGTCTCTTTCCCCTGGTCACGGATTCTGCCGGTCATCTCAGCCATTCCCATGTAGTCAATCACCTTCGCTTGCCATTCTTCCAGAGTAGGTAGCTGCTGCGTCTTCCAATACTTTGCCAGAAGAATCCTTGCTGCTAGGTCTCTAGCACTCTCCCGCCCCGGCCCTGCTCCCACGGTGGTGTCTACCTCCTTCCGAATATGAGCGACTTTATCTGCAAAAAAAAAAATAAAAAAAAATTGCAAAATCGTTGCAGGAGATCTTGGGGTCTTTACAAGGCCCCGGTGGTAAAGGTGGTTCCGTTAAATTGCAAACCACCTGAAAGAGTCTCCTGCTACTATTTTCTTCAGATGCAATAGAGGCGGTGAAGAAAGTCTTCTTCACCGTCGCTATCGCCACTTGGTAGGCTCGACGTTGAGCTCTAAACTGTGTCCGGTCCAATTCAGAATGAGTTTTCTGCCACCGGCACTCTAGCCGTCTCAGCGATTGTTTCCTCTCCCTCAGCTCCAAAGAAAAACATGGGGCTGTCCGGGCTCCATGCAATCGGAGAGGGCGCTTTGGAGCCAGACAGTTGATAGCCCTGGTTAACTCCGCATTCCAGCGGGCCACCAGGGAATCAGCTGAAAGGCCAGCAACATGGGATAAAGCATGCCCTACCACTCTCTGGAAACCATTTGGATCCATTAAGTGGCGGGGGCGGACCATCCGAATTGGTCCCACCTCCCTGCAGAGGAGAAGGGTCACGGAGAAGTCCAGTTGCACCAGGAAGTGATCTGACCATGGCACTTCTTTTGTTCCACTTTTACCTAGTGTCAGATCACCCACGTCACTAGAGGTGAACACCAGGTCTAAGGCATGTCCGTGACTATGAGTTGGGCCAAACTTATTCAGGGACAGCCCCATGGAAGCCATGCTTTCCATGAAGTCCCAAGCAGCCCCTTGTAAGGTCGTGTTGGCATGGATGTTAAAATACCCTAGGACAACCAAACTAGGTGTCTCCAGGAGAACATCCGCCATGACCTGAAGCAGCTCGGACAGGGAATCCTTGGTGCAGCGGGGAGGTCGGTACACCAAAAGGAATCCTATACTGCCCCTATTGCCCAACTTCCAAAACATGCACTCAGAAAACTGGGTCTTCGCAGTAGGTTGCCTGATGCAAGCTAGTGACTTCCTAAAAATCACTGCAACCCCCCCCCCTGCCCACATGACCTGGGTTGCTGTGTGTAAGAGAAACCTGGTGGACAAGCAGCAGCTAGGACAGGACCATCTGCTTCATCCAACCAAGTCTCTGTTACACATGCCAGGACAAATCCTCCATCCACGATCAAGTCATGGATGGCAGTGGTCTTATGAATCATTGACCTAGCATTGCACAGCAACACCTTCAGGTCATGTGGGTTTCCCTTGTTGAGTGCAAATATAACATTGAATCTCAATGCTACAAAATAACTCAGCAAGCTGACATTTATCAAGAGTTAAACAAAGGTTAGTGTACTAAATATTATTTCCAATTCTAGGTACTTTGCTATTGGAGAAATACCATATATGATTATAAAAATCTAAAGCAAGAATTTTGGGGTCCAATGCAAATTCAGGTGCAAATTCAGGAAGCGGCTTAGTCATGCTGGCCACATGACCCGGAAGCTGTACGCCGGCTCCCTCGGCCAATAAAGCGAGTTTTGCCATTACTGCATATTCTGATAGTTTCTCTTTACCATGCATCTATTTCAGGACATATGTCAGATTTCCATATGTTAGCCAACACCACTCTAACTGCTATGGTCATATAACTAAATAGTTCCACTGACGATTTCATAATACAGTATCTGAAGGAGTCATCCCCAACAGCATAGTTTTGGGGTCCAATGCAAATTTAGGTGTGTGTTTTTTTTACATTTTTTCATTTTGAAATGAACTTTCCTCCAAAACTTTTTGGTCTTTTCACAAGTGCACCATAAATGGAAGAAGATTCCTTAAGGTCTATCACATTTCCAGCAATGTCCATTCATTGCATTATTCATCTTCTGTATATTTTTCTAAGTTATATACCACCGAAAGAACATTTTTGTACACTCACACCTCATGTTACGACCGCTTTTGGGTTGCGGATGGCGGGAAACCTGGAAGTACCG